CTCCTCCCGACGAGCCTCCACCGCCCTCGAGACCTCCATCTGAGCCCTTGGTGCCTGACCCACCTGCACGTGCATTGTTGTGCCTGGCAGATGTCCTGCAAGCGTTTGGACTCAATGAGTTCGAAGCCGCTGAATGGGGACCGAAGCTGAAGGAGCGAGACCCAGACAACGATCTGGAGGAAGAAGAACTGGGCGGTTAGATACCCAGGGGGGCCCTGTCGCTGGCCCCTGGCAGGTCGTTGGCCTTCCTGCCAGGGTGACAAAAAGTTCCCCTCTGATGGGCCCCCCTGGGTTGTTGTCTGGACCGTCGGACTTCCCCCCCCCCCTTTCCCCTCAGTTGCGTGCGATCCTCCGCCTCGGAAGGCCGTCGATAGCACGAAGGCGAGAAGGCAAAAAAATGTAATTTTCCTCAGGCTGTTGAAGGACATTGACTTCTTGGCGGCTTCCTGGGGGCGCTCCGCGGCCACTCGGGGCCGTCTTAGAGCGGTCTTGGAGCATTTGGGGGCATCTTGGGAGCAGTCGACTTGAGGCGGTTCGGGCTATCCTGGGCCATCTTGGAAGTCGCCTCGGGCTTTCCAAGGCCAGCCTGGAGCCATCTTGGGCGAGAAAGTACCTCCGACACCTCGCGCGGCGCCCCGCCCGGGCCCAAGGGGGGGGGGGGGGGCAGGGGGGAGCGGCAAACCCCTCCACGGAGGGGAAGAAGGGGTCGAGGAGCTCACCTAGACCACCCGCGCCCAGAGGGTCGGTGGGACTTCGCCCCCGCGGCGGCCAACGACTGCAGCGAGCGCCGCGAGCGGCCGCCGCCAGCGCACCGGATCACCCCTGCACTCCGCACGTCGACGCGATTCAACCGACGCGTCGAGTGCGACATCTTGGTCTACAGGGATCGCATGATTATCCGCCTGATCTGTCGTGCCTCACGGCGGCGCAGTGGTCAGGAGGCCACGTCCAAGCACGACTCGACGCCGCCTGCCGCTATAGAGCGATCATGGATCCAGCTGCGCGGCTCGATGGAGACTTCGATCGTGGACGGCGAGGGCGGGGAAGATGAAGAGGAGAGGAGTGCAGGTTGACACGCGTGCTCCGCGCCATCGCGCTGGGTTGAGCGGCGCGGGGCCATGCTGATACTGCGACAGGGACTTTGCGCCGCGGGGGGGCACCTGGAGCGCGAAGGCATCGCGGCGAATTTCGGCTCCAGGCTAGCACGTGCTACCTTTGCTGGCAACAGCCTCACCCACGCGGGCGGCGCCGCGCCATGCAACGTCGTCTTCGGACGGCATCGCCCATGCTGCCGCTGCACGAAGCGGACAGCAGGGCGCGGCATCCGGCGACTGCGTCGCTGGTGCCGAGCCCCCTGCCGGCGGGGTAGTGCACCCCAGCCGACTGCAGCGGCGCGTCCGAGAGATCGCCCTGCAACGCATGATCGAACGAAGCCACATCGATCGCGCGCGTCAGCCGCGCCCTCGGGGCCCGCGCCGCCGAGTCCGGGGGGGGCCGCTTCAACGTGGGCGACAAGGTGGAGATCCACAGGCCGCCAAGCACCAAGGACGTGCGAGGCCGGGCGGACCTTGGGACAGTCACGCCTGCAGACCTGGCTCGAGGCGAGGTGGCGGCCAGGCACCGCCGACCCGAGATGGTCTGCGGGCTGCAAGACGCCCAGGCCTTCATCGGCGCCGTCTTCGACGAGATGGGCACCCGCATGGCGCGAGCGGGGCTTGGCCTGGGGCCGCGCAGAAGACCGCCTGGAGCACGTGGCACCAGGCTCCAGGGCCAGGACCTTCGGCCACCGCGAGGACACCAGGGGCGCGCAGCTCACCGAGCAGGCACGACGACGCCCAGACGCCCTCGAAGCCCTGCGCCATTTGCCCCGCAGATGCATTCGAATATCTCACGCTCGCGCTGTGCGACTCATACACGGGCAGAAATCTGCTCGCAACTAACCGGGATGCACCCGCAGTATTGCCACCCGGTGGCCCCCTCAGAACCCCACCGGCGCCCAGCATATCAGCCTCGACGGCGTCACCTTCGACACCCGCCAGCTCATCGGCGAGCATTGGTAGGAAGCTCGCATCATCCATCATATGTTGGTTATGAGCCGTTATGCGGTGACAGATGCCGGACAGGACCTGGACGGAACGCCCGATAATTGAGTCATCGGCGTTCCCGAGGACACCGCCAGCACCGCAGGTGGATCGGCATCAGCCCTGTCGAGCGACAGAGCATCCACGCGCAGCGCCACTGCTACTTGCGCAGGGCCTCCTTGGACGGACGATGCGCGTGGCGTGGAGATGTGGAGTATTATCTTCATCCAGGGGTGCGCCGAGCATCCCTGAGCTCCAACGAGGCTGCGCCCGGCGATTGCGTCGCTGGCGCCCCTCAGACAGCTGCGCCCAACATTCATGCCGCCGTCAAGACCGCGGTCATCAAGCGCGACGCCGACCTCCTGTCCGACGAGGAAGTGTGGAGGCTGTCGAAGGAGGTCGCAGCAGCCATCCTCGAGGAGCTCACCTTCTGGGTCAAGTACAAATTGTTCGAGAGGCGGCCGCAAAAAGGCGCCCGAAACGCCGTGGACCCTAGACATGTCTTCAAGTGGAAGCAGCAGGAGGGATCAGACGGCACGACCGCTAGAATCACCTGGCGCAGCATGGCGCCGAAGGGCTTCCGCGACGACGCCGGAGCCCTGGGGGCGTTCGCTGGGACAGAGAAGCGGGCGTCTCAGCGCCCATTGCCCCCAGGGGCGGCGCGTCGCCCCGACCGGGTGCACGTCGCCGTCGACGTCCTGCAAGGCATGACCTGCGCAGAGATGCAGGAGCAAGGCGAAGCACCTCGAGAGGCGAATTTCACCCCGCCACCCGGCCGCGCAGCCATCCTCAGGCAGGCGCCCGGCAACGAGAGCTTCGACGAGCGGACCGAGCGCCTGCGCTGCATCAAGTCGGGCACGGGCTGCAGGGGTGCGCCCCGAGCCTTTTCCATGAAACTCGCTCTGGCCACGCGCTCGCCCGAGAGCGGCGCCAAACCTGCCGGGCGGGGCCCGGGGCCCGAGGTCAAGCGCGCGACGTCCAGCTGCCGTTTTGCCAGCGTCTCGGAGCTAGTGATCACGTTGTCCAAGCGCGTTGACGATCAGAAGATCGCTGGTCACAGGGAGCACGCCGACCGGCTGATCAGCCAAATCGAGAGCGTCTTCGGCAAGATCAAGGGTGACTTCGACGACTTCACCAACTGCATAGTGAACCAGCACCGCAGTGCCGATGGCTCCGTGACTCCTGACCAGGACGAGCACATCGTCGCTCTGATACCGATCGCACACGTCGACCTGGTCAAGACCAGGCGGCCAAGGCTGACAAGCTGGCCGGAGGTCAGCTCCCCGACCTCTTTGCCCCCCCCCTCGGGAGCAGCGGCCCACGCCCTGCTCGCCCAGCACCGCGTCGCAGCGCGCATCGTTGCCCTGCAAGAGCCGAGAGCAAGCTACTCATCAGACGCGCGATGCAGCTCAATTCCGATGTTCTGGCCGCGCAGAAGATCAAGGCACGCATCGCATTTCCATCCATGGAGTGCGCCGGGCGACTCATCGCGCACAGCGACGGGTCATTCAAGAAGGAGGAGGAGCCAGGATACGGCATGAGTGGAGCCGTATACATGCGTCTCGGCAAGTGCCGCCGCACCAGCAAACGGGTGTGCCACTGGCTGGGCGCAATGACCCGATCGCACAAACTTGCGCGCAGATCCTCATTCGGGTCCGAGCTGCTCGCAGCATGCGGCGCGCAGACAGTCTGCAGGCGCACCTCCTCACGTTGCGCGAAGCGGTGCACGGCCTTGCCTCTGCCGAAGAGGTAAGGAGGCTGACGGAGAACGGAGGTCACGCGATCCCTGCAGACCTCGTCATAGACGGCATGTCCGTCTTCAACGCCTTGCTTATGGAGCCGGTCCCGCCGCCGTCCGTCCGGGAACGGCATGGCTAGCCACTCGCGGTGTTAGCCGACCAACTGCGCACCAAGAAGATCGACAAACGCGCACTGGCGCGACATTCGGGACACGCGGGCAGACCCCATGACCAACGGCACCATGAGCCGAGAGTTAATCCTCAGCGTGATGGACGGCCAGATCAGCTAGGACCACGCCACGGTCAAGGTCATCGAGGAGAAGCTGAGGAAGGCCGCCCCGAGTTCACAGCATATCTCATTCACGCAGAAATAAGGAGATGAATCTTGTGACTGTGTTACGAGGCCACAAGGATCTGGAAAGCATATATATATATATACATATATATATACACACAAGAACCGCATTGGCACATTCAGGGCGGGATGCGTGCCCCAACGCACGCGGGCATCCACGTGCGAGATTGACGAGTAGAATATTCAAGTGAACGGGAATGCCCAGACTGTGTCGGGGCAACTCGCGATTGTGCACGTGCTCCGAATAGTTTCGCAGTTTACCAGGTGGGGGATAGATGTGCTTGCTTCGGATCGTCCCACGGGCTCGGGCGGGAGATGTTCCATCCTTCCCACTGTCGCCGTAAAGTGTTTTTGCCGTCGGCGCCGTGGGGGTCAATGTGCTCTTGGGGTAGAGCGAAGCCCGCCAACCTTGGGACCTGCCACAGACAACTTTTGTATGAGAGCGGCGGTCGCTAGAGTCTTGTTGTTGCAGCTGTCTGCTTGATTGTAGAACGCACGATGGATTCGCTTGAGCACCAAATTCGAACGGTTGGTCCTCTTACCTTGCCTGCTTCTCACCCTGTCTTTGCCGTTGCCGCATTGGGTCTCAAGGATCCTCTACCGCGCCCGCTTTACATCGCTCTACATTGTAAGGCTTGCTTTGCATGTAATACATCCGCTTACGGAAAGCACCATTTCTCTTCTTACATCCTCATTTCAGGTCTCGTTATCTTCCCTCCTCCTCCAACCCTTTTCCAGTCTCCCTTCTTGGCTTCGACGACTACGAGGGTGGCGGCGGCGACGACAACGACAACGACAACCACCGCGCCCGCTGTGCCCGCCCAGGTGGACTGCAGGTCGGCGACAGGGTGCCAGATTTTTCCCTGCCCAGCGTGAGAGGGTTCAACATCTCGCTCCGCAACATCATCGAGAGGACTGGAGAGGGTTGGGAGGCAAAGAAGAAGACGAAAAAGGAGGAAGAGGAGGACGAAGGAGAGGAGGGAGAGGGGGACGGGGAGGGGGAGTAAGGGGGAGGGAGGAGGAGGAGGAGGAGGAGGAGGAGGAGGAGGATTATGGGGGAGGAGGAGGGGCAGGGAGGGTCGATCGGTCGGTCGGACTCGTCATTGTAGCAGTCTGCACGTCGTCGTGCTGAATGGAGGTCTTGGCCCCCGGAGCCCAGCAGGATATACTGTTATACACTTGTTGTTACCGCCACCCTTCACAGCGAAGGGTGGCCCAGCCCTGAGTTCCAGGCGGCCCAACGCACAGAAACGAGAGGGCGGCGGACGGCGCGAAGCGCTAGAAACAGCAGCGCGGAAAACAATGAACAGATGCAGTCGGCATGGAGAGGACGTAAAAAGGAGCGCAACCATCGAACATGCAATGCAGCCGGCATGGTTCACAATTTGGAGAGTCACCACCAATGGAGGATCATTCACCTTATTTGGAAACATGGGGTGAAACACGAAGCAAAACCATCAGAAGATCGTCAAAGCGTGCGATAGCCCAGTCTTGGAGGCCATCACCCGCGAATAGGCCAGCACACCGAAATGATCATCAGCAAATGCGGTAGGACAGCGAAGCATATAGTAGATCACCAGTGCTAGCTCGTCTCATCGCTACTCCACTCCACTTTCGGCGGTTCCTAGGGTACACGCACTGTTCGGCAACGTGTGACGCCAGAAGTACCAATAACTAGGCTAGACATGGCAGTCAATAGAAAGACGCCAGACAGAGCGAGCTAGAGTGGGCAGTGTGGTTGCCACCGCTAGGCTTCGGAGCGGGCTCGAAGTGTGCCACAGCACCAGTGCTAGTTCGCCGGCTGCAACGCAATGGTACGGAGAGAATCTAGAATTTAGTCGGTCATGTCCCTCTTCAGGAGGAACATCCAAGAACAGTGAAAAATAGTCTGGTGACGATGATTTATGATCTTTTGACTATGTTTGATTATTGTTTTATTATGTTCATTGTTCTTCCAGAGTCCACCTGTAGGAGGACATGCCCGACCTAAACCTAGAAAGTTACATCAAATTGGGTGTCCGCAGAACCCTCGGGCACGGGCAAAAACAGCTACGAAATAACTCCAAGACCAAAGCCATGGCACGCCTGAAGCAGGAATCTGTAGGCCACATTCAGATTTCACGCTGCAAACCAGTTGCAAAATGATGGAAAGCTCCAGGATGCATCGTACTAACACCCAAGACGAGGAATAGAGGAGATTGTGTGGTATGCAGCACGGTAGTTGACCCGTGTGGCGCCCACGGGGAGATGGGGGAGACCGTTGTTCCATTCCTTTCAGTTGGCAACGACCGCGCCGCGAAAGTCAGAGAGGATAGTGAGACAAGGAGGAGAGTCACATAAGCCACAGGAGCCTGGACTGGCACCTTGCCGAGAGCAAAACCTCCTGCACCAGACAAAGTATACAACTATGACTTTAGGCGCGCCCCCAGTATGCCCCAGCACCGACCCCACGAGATCCAGGCCATGGGTGACGATGATGGCATTGATTGTAGGGGAGCGGCGCGGTGGCCTACCCGTGTGGCGCCCACTGGAAGATGGGGGGCGACCGTTGTTCTTGCCCTCTTAGCCCGCAGCGACGGTGCCGCGGAAGTCAGTGAGGACCGCGATGGCAAGGAGAATCACCACCCACCAAACCACCCCAGCCTCACCCGAAGGCCCAAGTGAGGGGGATGTCGGGGAACAGAGACAAAAAAACATGTGGAACCCGTACCCCCCCCCCCCACCACCACCACCTCACCCCACACACCACCCACCCCCAACCCGAAATTTGGGCCTTCGCATTGGGTTGGGGTGGTCTGCTGGGTAGCCCGAGACAGGCCACAGGCGCACCAGGAATCCGGCTGGACCAGCACCTTTCCGAGAGCAGGGGCCGCAGCAGGAGCGGCACACAGCTGTGGCTCCGGGCGTGCCCCCGGTGTGCCCCAGCACCGAGCCCAGGAGATCCAGGACATGGGTGATGATAGTGGCGTCGATTTCGAGGGAGCGGCACAGTCGCTTACCCGCGTGGCGCCCGCGCGAAGACGGGGGCGGCCGTAGCGACCGCGAGCGGGGGAGGGAGGGAATGGACGAGGATAGGAGGAGGAGGAGGAGGAGGAGGAGGAGGAGGAGGGGAAAGATGATGAGGAGGAGGAGGAGGAGGAGGAGAAAGTGGAGGAAGAGGGGAAGGAGGAAAAGGAGCAGCAGCAGCACGAGGAGCAGGGTATCTCGTAGGCGGAGGAGGAGGAGAAGGAGCAGGAGGAGGAGGCGGAGGCGGAGGAGGAGGAGGAGGAGGGGGAGAAAGGGCACGCCAAGGAGCGAGCGAGCGACCACATTGCATTGCAGATCGGCATCGCCAGAATGGTGCATCAACTCGACCACGTGTACACCATGCGGAGGAGGAGTCACGAGGACGAGGAGAAGGAATGAGAAGGGGGTGGGGCTCTCCCAACCACCTTCTTCTCCTCGACTTGCTCCTCGTTCTCTTCCTGCTAACCGTGTTTGTTCTTCTCCCCCTCCTCGTCCGCCTCGCCCTTCTTGTCGTTCCTCCCTCTCGTCGCCGTTCCTCGTCGTTACGCCTCGTCGTTCCTCGTCGTTCCTCGTCGTTTTTCGTCGCTCCTCGTCGTTCCTCGTCGCTCCTCGTCGCTCGTCGTTCCTCCTCGTCATTCCTCGTCGTAGCATCATACGTTTCTCCCTCTCCCCCATCCTCGCATCTTTCCTCCTCCTGCTCTGGTCCTCCATTATACTTTTCTTGCTTCTTATCACTATTAACCAACTCAGTCTCCACAGCTTCATCGTTATCCCCTTCTTGTCCTCATCCTCATCCTCATCCTCGTCGTCATCATCCTACTCCTCCTCCTCCTCCTCCTCCTCCTCCTCCTCCTCCTCCCTTTCCTCCTCCTCCTCCAGGTCATCATCATCAGCAGCAGCATCATCATCAT